TATTTTGTTATTTAACAAATTTTGTGGCTGGTATAAATTATTCAATTATCTCCTGATTAAACTATACACCTAATGATGTAAATGTGAGTAATTTAATTAATGTATTGTGTTTAATATTAGTTGTGATACATTATTTTATGAATTTAATCTACTTTTGTTTTGAATGATTAAGTATTTAAAATACAAAAAATTATTGAAAATTTAATAATATCTTTATTAATAAGTAAATAATGTAAAAATGTTAATTATTTGAAGAGCTAAGAGGTTTGACTAATAACATAAACAAAACCAAAATAACTTTTAAAAATATTAGCAATAGTATTTAAATTTGTTTGTAGTATAATTATTGAAATACATATAATTATGATTATTACTGTTATTTTCCTATTATTGACAAATTTGAAGACTAACAAGTTTCATTCTAATTTTCTGGAATTATATAACAATTAACATGTACTTAAAACAAACTTTTGTTAATTCTCGAAATCATAAATTTAATCTTTACAAAAAGTTATTGAATACTACCAAGGCAAGGCTGAATTAGATGATAGACATTAAGTTTAGGGTCATAATTATAATATTGTTTTTTGTTCTTTATACTATAAGAAAAAATAGTTAAGTTTAAAAATAAAAATATTATTTCAGGAGATATATATTAAGTTATTAAAGGGTTTTATTAGTGTTCAACAAGATGAGTTCAAATACACAAAAAAAAAGACAAAATTATCTTAAAAGCATACGAGGAGTATAAAGATAAGAATTAACTTATAAACTTAATATTTGATTGAATCAACTAAATTATTCAAAAAAATTTAAAGTGAATGTATTTTTACCTATTATTGACCAGCTGTTAACTTCAATAAGTTAAAAATTTGATACAAATAAAGAAATATTTAGTCGATTTGGATTTTTTTGGAAATTTAAATAATCTTAGCAACAAAAAATTACAAGATACTACTAAAAAATTTATAGCTATATATCAAGATTACTCACATGAATTTCTTTATGTCAAAATAATTCTTTTTTTCTGAATTTATAAAACTTTTTCCGTGGCAGTAGAAATGAGTAACTGGCATTGCATGTACAAAATTATCAATTAAAAAAGATGTATTGCTTTTTTCAAATGTTGAAATCACACTCACACGTACTTAATAATTATGGTCACCACTTATAGGAGTGAATGAACATTTTTAAGGCCAAAAGTTATAAAAATAGACTGGGAACTTCAATTTATGGAGATTGTTTAAATTGTTTATCAGTTTTGAACACTGAAGTGAAATTGGACAGTTTATCGTTTGATAATATTATAGATGTCTAAGCAGATAAAAAATCAAGGAAAATAACTACTCAATTTGTAAAATTTTATTAAATACAATTAAATTACTGTTTTTTTTTTTTTAATTTTAATTTTTAAATATGAATAAAAAGGTTGGTGCAATATACTCATAAAAGTTTTTAATTAATCATTATTTAACATTTAACACATTAGATTTAGATTATTTCATATAAACATACTTATAACTACTACAATACAGCAACTTATTAATTTAAAACTTCATAGACCTACTTTATAAGTAATAGTATTTGTATGTAGTAAACTTACAAATAATGGAAATTGAGTACTAGTAACTAAATACATCTAAGATCCTTTTATATTTTCCAGACTACAATAATTACACCTACAGTCTTACGACTCTTAAAATTTATCATTGATTTATTCTTACATCTAAGTATGATACATACCGTTTCCAAAGGACCACCAGTCGAATAATTCAATTGAAATATATCCCATCCACAATCTTCTCCAGATGTTAGTAATAATTTTACATCCAGTGTTTTTAGTATTATAGGTTCATCATATTGAGCATTGCTCATTCTTACAGCAGTGTCCAAAAAATTTCTAAAGGTATGAGGACCAAGTGTACCTGAAGATTTATCTAAATGAGGCCTATTGCAAATTAATAAATGTTAGAATACACATATTAATGATACAATAGATTTTCATGTAATTGAAACTCACTGGAGAATTTCTAGCAAGCTTGTGACAAAGTCTCCTTGTCCTAAGAGCATATAACGCCGAAGTCCTTCGAAGTGTAAAAATAACTTAAATTTTTCTTTTAAAATATCCAGTACTACAGTTGAAGATTCAGTACAAGCCTTGTTAATCAAATCAGAAATAATGCTACCTTGTTCTAACATTGGAAATAAATCTTTATCTAAACACAATATATAATTATCAGTTAATGAAGCTAATAAAACTAAATATTTACTTAATACTTATGTTTCAGAGAATTTAAAATAATTAAATTGATAATTTGTTAGGTTTACTCACCTCCAGAATTTCGAAGATCCTTTAGAGTTTTCCTAGATGGTGTTAAATCAGGTTTACTTTTACATATTGTGTGTAGAAAATTTATATACCTCCCAGTACGAAAAATTCTATTAACATCTTCTTTCGTAAAAAACGTTGGAACCATAGACTCTCTTTAACAAAAATCACATTAATCAATATATTTAGTTTATTTATTTATTTATATATTATATTCGTAATAATAACAAGACAGGTACTGACCGAATTTTATATCGATTATTCCACATATCAAGGTTATTGACGTCTGGACATTGATAAATAAAAAATTCTTCATAATTATCTAAAAGCTCTCCATCAACCATCCAATGACACATAATCATCATTAATGGTCTAGTTGCCTAAAAATTTTTAAATACACTCATAAATTTTACATAACATCATGGTTTTAATATGTTACTATCACTTACAACTTTAATCATATTAGTAGCCATTTGTTGTAAATAGGGATTAGCACAGTATGCAAATGGTGCAATAACAGATACTAGTTCACCACCACGTTTAGTACCATCAATCATTTTAACTGTGTATGCCAAATCCTGCAATTGCCCTAACCAAAGTACAGACCAACACAATAAATTTCCGAGTGAATATTGTTTGGAATTTTCATATGCTTCATTAACCTGAGATAAAAATGTTTAGATAAATGTCATACTTATGCAATATATCATACTATATATAATATATACAATAATACAATTGAATAACCTCTTTTTGCAATTTATTAATACTGTCATAGTAAATACATAGTTCCTCGTGCAAACAATGTGCTATTCCTGAAGCTACCGAGCCATTCTTGTTATCATTGTTGTTTTCAATATATTCTTGCACTATGTTATGAAGATATCCAAGTTCCATTAGTCGATTTACTTTGCTAGTTTGGTAAAAGTCTAACTATAAATTAAAAAGAATATATAATAGGATAAAATGCAATTTTGAAATGTATTAAGTATATACTGGTGCTGTCACAGTAAATTGTTTTTCGTTTTGATTGAATACTATCCAATGGCTATCAACTCCTTGAAAACAATATAAAAGGCTTCTTATTATTTCAATATCAGAAATTGTATCCATATCTGAAATTTTTTTTATAAATAAAAATATTAAAAAAAAAAAAAAAAGCATGGTGTAACAAAATGTACCTATCTTATGTTGTATTATTTCTTTTTACACTAATGAATAGGGAAATCAGGAGGTAAATTCATGTTTGATGGTCAATGAAATCTTTCTTTAGCAGAAAGTTATGTTTCATAAAAACCATTTTAATACAATAGTGTTAGTCTGGTTTTATATATGTTAAACCACTGAACAAAAAATAGTATAATGAAATATTTAAATCAATATCAGAGAATTACAAATAACAAAATATTTTTGAGTTTGTTTCTATCTTCAAATTGTGTGAAAAAAATGTTGTATATAGTTAAGCGTTTATGTCATAAGAACAATGCAAAAACCTTACGATTCTTGTTGATAAAAGTTTTGTCTAACACAGAAATACAGTCCAGTTGAAAACTAAACTATGATTGGTTTACTTCGAATGTACTAACATCGGTGGATAATAGACTCAGAACATTATTGGAACATATTTCAAACTATAAATGATAACAATGTTTCTGATTCCAAGTCAAAATTTTCTGATCAACTGTCAGAAACCAATCTAAAACTGGTTCAATGTTGTATTGAAACAACAGTCTGATAGTTTGAGTTTATATTTTTGGTGTGTTGAAATGGAAAAAACTACTGCCTATACTATCGCTAGTATTGTGATAGCTTAACTAAACATAAAAGATAATCAAATATAATTTCTTTGACTTAGAATTTTTGGATAGGAATTATATGGGTAAATGTTTAAATGTGATTTTGAGAGAGGGTTTGTCATCGGATGGAACAGCAGGTAGAGATTTTTCTGCTTCTTCTAAAAATATTATGTACAAATTTACGATTTGAGTTGAAATAGAGTGGCGACACGTTTATAAAAAACAACTGACTAATAATTGTAATAAAACGCATTAACAACATTTGATCGTCTGTTCTAATTTTCTTGATGATGATAATTGACAATAAAATAAAACTACATGTTAACATTATATAAACATAATACTGTAAAATAATTACCTTCTCGTTTAATCGTTTTAACAATCTTAGGAGTTGACATTTTTCGTAATGAGTCCTTGTTCATTTTCGAGTACAGATGCTTATTAATTTCTAATCATTTATTAACAACACGTCAATATTTACAAGCAAGAATTACTTTTTCATAATTACACGGAGAGTTGGAAGTGAAATATAAAAATATTAATATTAATTAAATATTATTAATTATTATATTAATATATTAGTATTATGTTTATGTTTTCAAACGTTATCATAAAAGTTTTCAACAAACGTTCAAAAACTTATCACTTAAGAGAGCGAATCGATGAGCGAATTATGTCGTGTTGAGCGGTATCACAGTTTTTTTAACAGCATTGTCGGCAGACAAAAAAAAAAAAACCGCGCCATTTAATCGTTATTTGCAATTGATAAGGTGAATGCTGATTATGAAAGTGGTAACATGTAAGTATTAACCATATACCACGAACATGGGCCAGTAGGAATGATTAGGATAGCGAAGTATGTTTTCAATGTTTCAGACGTTTCAGTGAACAAAGAAATTGCATTAGTTCATATCAGTGTTTTCTTTACTTGGTGGCTTCAGACTTGGTGCTTACAATTTGGTTCTGGCTAATATCTATACCGCCCGTGTCATAAGTGCAATACTTTGATTACAGTTTATTGATTACATGAATAATATATTCAATAATTTTATTATTTACTTTTAAAGATTTTAAATGCCTTACCAGTCATCAATGTCAAACATATTTATTTTAATCGTTTAAAAATTTAACCCAATGATCTTGTTTCATTTTTTATATTTTAGTATTTATTCATACATAATGTCATACATCAATAAAAAGCTAAATAGTAAAATCATGTTGGATGATGAATCTGTGTCTGATAGTGATTACTTAACATCTGTCTTAAGTATAGTAAACGGTTACTGTAAAATTAATTTAGTTGTACCACAGACTAGTTTATTTTATGCCAACGATAGTTTATTGCCAATCAATGCCAAAGTAAACAATACTACACTTAATAATACAAGCCATAATAGCCCAGTGATTAATGCACCCGATAAATTGGGAAATATGTTAAAAAATATTGACCTAAACAGTGATGAAAATATAGATGACAAGAAATTTAATTCACCCAATAAACCACGTGCTGATGAGTTTCAAATATATTCAAAACCATCTTATTCAAACGATAGCAATATTTTAGAGAAGGAAAATAAAAATGAATCACCTAAAGGTAAAAAAAAGAAAAATAAATTTTATAAGGGTTCCATGTCAAACAACCAGACTATAGTATCTTCTATGTATACAGATCAGAATTGCTCAAAGGAATATCTTAATCAGTTTGAAAGTGAAGCATATGATGTTGAACGTTTGAAAAAAGAACAAGTAAGAGGCTTAAAATTTATAAGATATAGTTTAATTAACATTTCATTTTGAATATAATTTATTTAAACAACAACAGTAGAAACTGTTTATAATGACATTCAAGGGACTAGTCAAAATTGGTCATAATAACCAAAATGACAAAAATTAAATTAAAAACTCTTTTATATACATACAATGAACAAAATATTTTATTACAATAACATTTTTAATGTGTTATTATGTTATATTTATGTATATAAATCGTAAATTTAATTCATATAGAAAAAAAATAATAATACAATTTTTTAACATCTAATTATTATGTATTTATCAAATAGCCTATAAAGATATACGTTATCGATATACAATATACATTATTCTACGTATATATAGGTTTTCTTACTTTTGCTATTAGTGTTTTTGCTGTTAAAATATTTCGCGATTTTGACTTTCAGATTCTGTTATAAGACTTTCGATTAAATTATTAAAGTCATTATAGATAAAACCTTTTTCCAATAAAATCAAAAATAACCGTCATAAAATCCGTATAGTCATTATACAGATTTCATTATAATCAATACAAATTAGTACATACAATATAGGAGTTTTGCTGGGACTTGCAATCTAAGTCATTACAACCGGTGTCATTATAAACAGTTTCTACTGTAGTTTTAAATAGTTATTGCATATTTCATAAAAACATGTGTTATAATTTGTAGAAGTTTTAACAATTCTATTTAAATTTAATTTACTATTAAAATTATTTTCATAACTATATTAATATAATATTTTATCCTATTGTATTCTTTAAGTAGAAAATTCCTGTACTGATTTGATACTTATTTTCATAATTGTTTTGAAATTGAGAAATTCTGTATGATTTTATTAGTCTTAACAATAGGTATTTTATCTATATAATACTTTAAATAGGTATATTTTAGTATAGCATAAAAAAAATTTACATTTTTTTTTTAATTTTTAGGAACTAAGAAAAAAACAATTGAAAAATATCAAAAATAGTATAAGAAACAATGGTTATCAAACAAGAACTCGAGCATCGTCCTCGCAACAAAATCCTGAAAACGAAATTACAAATGAAAATGTACCACTCCATTCTCAATGTCCTCTATGCTTTGTATCATTTCCTACGCCTGATATTGAGGTAATTTATGACTTTTTTAATTTTGCAACTATTGAGTATATACTGATCCTTCATAGTAACATGTAAACATGGTAGTTATATCTTTGTTACAATTACATTTCAAAACTTATTCAGATAAAATTATATAAATACCTAATGACAAACAACAGTTTTATGTTACAAAAGTGAAGTAACTTTTTTTCCTTTCATTTTTATTTAAACAATAATTAATAATTATAATTTTGTTTTACAGGCACATGCGTCAGAATGCAGTATTTAAATATCATTGCACTATTGTATTTAAGGGATTATTATTAAATTAAAGTTATCTTTATTTGCCTATTTATATTTATTCTTTGTGTTCCTTACTTAAATTAATAGAATAATTTTGTAAGTTTTTGTTAACTTAAAATTATAGTAGTTAATTAAAAATCCTAGTTTATTTTTTTAATGTATATTATTTATATTAAGTGTAGACATATTATGGTCTACTAAAATTTACTAATCTGAAAATATGTAGTGTTCAAAATATATGTAAAAGTATTTTATGGATGTGAAAATGGCAAAACAATTAAATGAAATATAATAGCTTAAAATCATGACGTGTTATACACACTAATTTTAAAATTTTAGGCTCCAAAATGCTGCTTTTCTATGTTAATGATTTAAAGTTAGAATTTAGTGTTTATACATAATTAATGGGATTAACCATTTTGTAGAATACAAAATAGTGGTGTGGTTGACAATAAGATTTAGTATAAGTCATAAGAGTATCAGTAATTAATGGGGCTCGGATGTTTATGCACTAAAAAATTACGAAATATATAATCAAAATTTGCGCTAAAAATTATAAAATATGCATTTTTAACGAATAAAAATGACAAAATATGTACAAAAATTTTTATTATTTATTTCAATACATTTTTTAAATTTACATAGCGTTTTATTTACTTTAATTTACATTATTATTTATTAATTAGATATTACTTTTATTAGCATTATATTGTGTTACTATAGTTTTTTTTAATTTGTTCAAATTTGTAACTGCATCTATTATCGTTAAGTAAATTTTTGTAATGTGAAAAGCTTCGTCTACATCAACTGATGTTATCTTAAACCTTGCTCAACAAAGTACTGTAATTACGAACAAACACGATATGTCGATAATAAACATTTATATTTTACGTCAAAACTTGGTAGATTTTAGACTGTGGTTACCACCTATAAAATTTATATATACAAATTGTGAAATTAATTTTATAGTTTGTTAATTAAATTGTTTTTTTTTTAAAATATGCAAAATAAAAATAGTATAATTGATTCAGTATAACATGAATTAAATTTGTATCTAGATTAGCATTAAATTGGATAAATAGAAAGAAATATGCTATTTCATAAACATCCGAGCCCTAGTAGTTAACATAATATTATAAAATTTACTAATGAACTAATTATTAAAAAATAACAGTAGAATAAATAAACCAAAAAAAAAAAAAAAAAACACATTAAAAATTAATTTGAAACTGAATTTAAAGCTAAATTTACGTTATAATTAAAAACAATAAGTAACATAAAGAAAAAGTCTATATAATTATGTAATCTATAGTTAGATTTGCTTATGTTAATGATATAAAGAAGAAAGTGGCAGAGCCATAATTCTATCTATAAAATGGTATATGAAACAAGTTTACTTTTCTCAAACATAACTTGTTTTATTTAAACCCTGCCATGTTTTTTTCATGGTTTTAGATACTATAACCATGATTTTTTGTTATAAATATTTGGTCGTTGGAAAAAGTTTATGATAAAATATTTTTATTTACACCCAAATGTTTTCCAAGTACATCGTTGTTGTGTCACAATTTTTGTGTACATAATGGTTAGCCACGATTTTCTATTTTCCGTTTTTAACATTTGGTAATATAAAATTAAATTTGTAAATATTGGATATTTAATGTTAAAAAAAATAAGTAACTAAAAGAAATAAGTTTTTTTGTTTTATTGCTGTTTTCAGTGTACCTGTGGAAATCGATAACCTTCTCTCATGATAATAGTTCATTTATTTTTCTATTCAGTATTTTATTTTCGTGATTCAAATTTTAAAAATGAACATTAAGTAATTTGTTTTTATTAAATATTTTATGTTTTTGCAAAAGCACAGTATAAATATTTATATATTTTGGCTATTTAATTTTAAAATATGAATTCTAGCCATGGAAAAATTAAACTAGTGATTGTTTTCTATAAAAATATATCTTAAAAATTATTTAAAATGTTATTTTTTATAACTGTGTATAAACCATTTAGTTTTGACTAATCAATACAAGTTTACCCAAAAAAAGGTTAATAAAATGAATTACAATATATTTTATATATTACATTGGAATGGGTTTTTAATACAATAATTTATGATTGACATGGATTTTGGTGAAAACAAGTTGCCAAATAATTCCGTAACAAATCCATACATGATGCTGATCGCGTATTAGTACCATATTGCTCTGTGATTAGTACGTTATGTTTCTATTTTTTTGTTTTGATATTCAGATGTTAAGGAAATTATTTATATGAGTATAAATAAATATTAAGATCAGTCAAAGATTTTGCTTATATTAAACGATTATTTCACTATAATTTTTTTTTTGCGTTAATTAATATTATATCAGAACTCCTAAAAATTGGATGTTGTTCTTCTTCCGGAACATATGATACCTCAAAGTGTTCAACCAATAAGTTTAAAAACATTTTCCATGTGCTTTTTTGTTTTTCAGTTTCTCTAAGTTCTTGGCATATTAATATTACTGTGTTAGGTGCAGTCAACTCAGTCATAGTTTTCACCAATGCCTCCACTACCTTTAAAAAATAATATTATTTAATTAAGAAACTAGAAATAAAAAAAAATAACAATATCAATATACTTCTGGATAATAAATGCAATCTGCCATCAACAAATAATCAAATGGCTCTGACTCAAATGTGGTGCCCCATTTTAATGCAACAGTTTCAACACTACCTTTTAACCAAGATGTGTTTTCATCAACATTTTGTTTTAATTGCTGTAAATTTTCTGGTAAATCTGTCAGTTTGACATTTGCACTATAAAAAAAAGTAATTTGTTTCATAAAATAAATTTTAGTTGAAAATTATTTAACTACAACTGTGAATGTAATAGTGTAATACACTATAAAACCTTTTAAAATTATTTTTTTTTAAATAAATCAAATATTTAAAATGATAAAATGTGTGATTAAATAAAAAAATATTTTTAAAATAATTAGTATTATGTATTATGTATCTATATTTATCAACTATACATTTCATTTCATTTAATCGTGAAAATGTTTAATAATTTATAACACATGTATGCATGTTCCAGAAATAATTTCTTCATATTGACTTTTAAATGTTACAATATTAAAAATCATTCCTTTTTTTACATTGACGCCGATTTTTTACTGATGTTTCTACTCAAATACATGACACACATTTAAACTTAAAAAGCTTCATCATACAATCAATGTATGATTATATGATTGTGTTAGATCGGTTTAAAATATAAGATACTTGTTTTCTTATTGATAGTTAGTTTATTTGCTAGTAAAAATTCAAGTTTTTCCGAATTTAAAACCATTCTAACGTCATAATATATTATACATAGTAAATAAGAGAAAAATGCATTTATTTCAAATACACAGATCTCAGAATAACTCACGATATTAGATTTACCCGAAGCATGCAGCAGTCAGGCCAACGCACCCTAATCCTGAACCCAATTCAATCACTCTCTTAGATTCGAATGTTTTATTGTTCTTCAGGAACAAAGTTTCTAAATACTTGGCCAACACTATGGACGCGTCCCACACGACACAGTTGACATCTCCATATTCTTGTTGGCAAAATCGTAATGTGACATTAATTGATTCCAAATCGAAATGTCTATAATAAGCGTTCGTGTCCATGACTTAACATTGGCTCGGTGTAATAAAAAAATTCAAAAGTAGGTACATGCAAATAGGTCGACTCTAACAAGTAGACACTAGACAGATACATGTAAAGTAAACATGTAAAGACACTTCGCTTATCACTTCTTATGAGAAAATAATCAAAATACTGTATTTTCTATTGCCTATGCATATTTTAAAAAGGGTGTTTTAAAAATATGTTTGGCAATCGCACTATTCAAACCTTTGTCGTTAAAATTTAATCTATGATTTTAATCCTTTCATTAAAAATTTAAAAATATGTTCTCTCTTACATTGCCACAGAACATTTTCCGTTAATAAAAAACCACAGACTAGAAACTTTTTAAGATAGAATATAATAAAATAAAAAGTCTAAATGCAAAGGTTCTATCTCTGAATAATCTCTATTTCGTGTGTTTCATTTTATTTTCCTTAATTTTTTGTCAACGATGCTACTTGTTGTTTATTTACAATTGATCGTAAATATATTTTAATAAAGAAATAAAAATAACCATATTTATGTTTCAGATATAATTCAATATTCAAGATTAATACGTGATAATAATTATTATTGAGAATTGAGATCATACTATTAATTAATATAAATTATATTACGTTCGTATCAACAAAGAAAACAAAATTTTTGTTTTTTTGGTAAAATAGGTAATTGCTCTGCTGTTGAGAGGTATCGAGTGTATTTCGTCATTATTAATTGAGGAGGAAGTCACTATAATATAGATGTTAAATTTGAATTCAATGATCAATTAAGTTGATTTCATTTTTGACCAAAGCATTGACCACTTAAAATTCAACAAAATAATATCTAAATTGAATTATATTTTAAATATTTCATATATATCAACGCATTATGTGTAATAATGTATAATTCGTTTATATAAATACCTTTTGGTTGATAGTCATGACTCATCGTTAGTGTGTTAATGTGCAATTAAATCAATTAAAATTAGTGTTCTGATACTTCCATTAGTGTGTTCTAGATCAAAATTTCTTGTCGAAATTAAATGCAAGCCTATCCCATACACTATAATTTCAAATATATATTATACAAGCGAATAATTATTGGAATATTTCATACTAAAAGAAAAATAATAATTTGAAAAGAGGTAGGGCAAGTGGGTACCGAACCTTGTTGTATATATACTATTATATATACTATTCTATATATACCTTTGTTATACTTGCTGTCGAATATTGTGTCGATTGGATCACCGTAATGGGTGTTAGGATGTATTAAATTTACATTCAAAGATATAAATATCATTGTAAATGAAAACCGATTCTGAGCGGAAAAAGTCTGTTAGCTTATATCACTAATAACTAATAAGTACATTTCATGATATGTTCATTGATATTTCTAAAAAAGTAATTTATTTAACAAATAGTATTGTTATAGATTGATTTAATTTTTGCCAAAAATATTGCATTTATAATAATAATAATAACAATAATACATATTATATTATTGTTATTACATTTGGAATTAATATTACCTTACTGTAAAAGACTGTAAATAGATTCGTTGTGTACTTGTGTGCATAAATAGGCAACAGCTTAAAATTAAAAACCGTCATAATTTCATTAGGTACATACAATAGTACAATAAACATAAAATTTCAAATTTCCATGTGTTGAATAACAAAAAAATAATCAAAATTGTTATTCTTTATTTAATTTCGTTCAAATTTGAATTTCGAATACATTCCTTCAAAGTTGAAAAACGAAGTATTTTTACTGCTCCAAAAGAATATGACAAAAAAAAAAAAAAAACAGACATCATTGTGAAATTAATATTAGTTGTTCTACTTAAAATTGAGCATGGTGATTGCCATTAAAAAATCAAAATTTGATACATTTATCACACGCAAGCACAAGTCACTTATAAAAGACAGTGAGATTTTGAGAAATTTTCTCAAATATGTGTTTCAATGTTTATGGTTCTACTAATATGCAATTAATATTAGACTATATGTCTATATATACACATAATTAATGTTAACTTATAATTTAAAAATAATATAAATACAATATACCTATAACTAACAATAAAAAATAAAATAAAAAGTTGTACACATTATTTTAAGGATATTGAAAATTTGAAAACTATTTTATAGATTTTAGTGCAGCTGGTAAATTTTGTTGATTAGTTGCATTATTCGTTGAAAGTGTGGGTATGTCATCAATTCCAGAATATCGATCATCATTGTCCAATGGTAAATCCAATAATGCTTGTACTTTCATCACTTCTGCCATCATTTTTTTCTAAAATTATTTTAAATGAATAAAATTACAAATATTTAAAGTTAATGAATTGTTAAAACAGATTATTTTTCTGTTAAAACATCTTAATTTATAAGAAAATTATAAAATTATTACTAAAATGTATAATAAATAATATTCAGCATTATAGCATCTTTAAAATATGTTTTATAAACTGAAAAAATACCAAATATAATAATGCAATAGTAAATTATAATGGCAAACATATTGTTTATTAATAGAAACAATAACTTCTGAATGACTATTGAATAATGTGTATAACATTGACACTTGATCTTGAACTTAAAACAATTTTTTTTTTTTTGATTTAATTGTTTAATAATTATGATTTATTAGCTTAAAAACTTTAACTTTAGATAAGTTTTTTCCTTAAGAGTAAACTACTTCTGTTAAGATTAAGTGAGTTGATTCATAATTATTAATCACTATATAATATTACTAATAAGCTTTTAGCACATTTTAAATCAATATGGTAATATTTTACCTTATGAAGGGTATGAAACAACATACCTATTATAATAAGTACCTCTAGTAAGAAAAAAACTATATTACAATATATTTTAATTCATTATAAGTACTCATAATTTATTTAATATTAGGTATAATGTAAATATTTTTTATTTCAATAAATTAAAAATCTAAAATCGTATAGGTTGTTTATATATTTATTATACATAATCTTATAATTAATAGATACCTATAAATTAGGTAAACATTTGTAAATAGTTGAGTAAGTGTTATTAAGTATTTAATCTTAATCATATGTTTATGAAATTATATTTTATTATTTATAAATTGTATACTATTCAACAATTGCCTAATAATCAATTATCATTAAATTTAATCAAAACCTTTCATATATGAACATTTACCGTAATAAGTTGCAGTTATATTTTCTTACAACATGTATGTAGATATGGGTAATAAAAAAAAAAAATATTTTTATTTTTGTTTACCAATTTTCCTCTTTAATCTCTTTCTACTTGTAAAAATAATTTGTTTACAACTTTTTTTTATTATCGAACACTTAGTAAGGATAATCACGACTTACCTCATCAAGTTTTCCAATATTGTGTTTTATATGTTTACGAAAAACATTTTTTAATGCTTTATCTGTTGACAAGTCAAGTCGTACAACTTCGTTGGTCATTTCTTCAAGAAATCGTTGGTATGATTCATCCATTGTATTTTGAAAAAACTTACTAAGATAAACCAGTGCAAAATAATTCCAATGTTAGATAGGAATTTATGACTCATATAATATAATGTAATGGTTGTTTTTTTTTAATATTGATTACTGATATAAGTATAAAAATATGAGTAATGTGTATAATAAATATTTAGATTGTAGGCAAGTATAATGTTTCAATTATTTTAGGCTATACTAGTAATATTGTTAATAATTGATCGTATAAAAATGAGTACACTATTGTAAATACAACTTTTTGATAATAAGTATAAATGTATTTTTTAGTCAATGATAATGTTTTAGATTATTTTCATAGAAAAAGTGAATAAAATACAATGTATTGTAGGTAAATAAATAAACATTTCTTATAAGATATCTTTTGTTGATTAGGTATAATTTAGAAAATGAATTTAAAGTATTTGACATACTTTTTAAAATTAATTAATTAACATAATTAATGAGTATTCACTTCTTCTCTACCACAAGAAGTCAATTTAAAAATAAAAATTAGTGCACTGTGAACTTTGAAAAAATAAATAGGTACTATTAAAAAGTTATATATATATATTTTTTTTAACTCGTAAGTAAAAGTACTTATTTATTTATTTTTGATATATTTTAGGAAAATTGTTCATAACTTTATTAAATACTCATATTACCAAATATTTTATAATATTCTTTCTATAGCCAATTTAACAAAACAAATATTATTGTCTAAAGCAATAAAAAATACAATGTACTTAACAGCTTTAAAATATATAAGTAAACTAAATTGATTGAATAACGGCTAGGGAATATGTAATATAATATTTACACCTTTAGGGCAAGGGGGGACTGGCGTAAAAAATCGGCCGGGGCGATCATAAAGGCCCAGCCACTTGGGTATTATATTATATAAATAGCATTATACCAGCATACATTTCTTAATAGTAATAACCTAGACAGATAGAATTAGTGGCTCTCCTCTCTCCCAACTATTCAATCATCATAATTTGGTCTGTTAGCTAAATACAATTTTAAAAAAATTTTTGTGTCCTTGATTGTCAACTACTATATACAATTTTTATCGTAGTCTATTATTGTAAGACCAAAAATCCTAATAGCTCAGGGGGCGATTGCCTACCCGCCCGTCGGCCCAGTCCACCCCTGCTTTAGGATACCTATATATTTAATTAAAATAATATAATAAAGCTCCGTGTCATTGCTACATGCCATATCTGTTTTGATAATATTTAGACGCGAAAGAATTTGTAATAGATATTTTAATATTCTAAGAATTCATCTGTTAAGTTGTGGGAAATAGCTATAGGAATCCTCATTTCTTAGTAGGCGTTTGAGCTGCTTCTAACTGTTTTTGGGACGGTAGCTGACAATATTGTTATGATTATATGTCACACGGAACTCCCGATGCGGCGATGCTATTGGGAGTTATAACTTATATTGTAATATTAAGAATAAATAAAAAACAAACCTTATTTTTTTTTTTTGGTTGTTTCTTTCGGATGATCTGAATGTAACGGATTATGTTGCTGGCTTCTTATTGTCTTCTGTGCGTTTTCTGCAAGGTGTGGAGTTTCGGGAGAATAATATGTACGATTATTATTTTCAACCGATTCAAATCCGAAATCGTCATCGTTATATGCACATTCATAACTCAAGTTCTGTAATGAAAAACGACGGGTTAAAATATAAAGTGGTACTTAAAGTACCATGCCTGTATTTAAGAAGACAACATTATAACGTCATAACGTAAACACTGATATGAGGTAGTTACATTATTATTCATTATACTTACACATTTACATATCTTTACATATCAATTGTATACTTATACGCTACAGTCTATAGGTACCTACTATTACTATTCCACGCATAACCTTTTCAATTTCAAATTAAAACCAGCTGCATAATTTCATTTTCGTATTCTCGCGTGCTATGTCGAGATTTTATACAGATATACTTTTGATACTATACGATACGTACCAAATTGTAGCATTGTACATTTACACGATTCTTACCTATAACCAAACGTATAATTGTGAAATTGAAATATTTTAAGATTTTTGTCATGTGGTAGGTAGGTAAACTAAATGTTTGATATTATTATGATTATATATGGATATACATATGTTAGAAAAATATGAAAATTGAAAATGATAAAGACACGACATGATATAAATCACGATGAGGTTTGCAGCCGTTACTGAGTAAACAATTAAAACTGTTTTTTTAATTAATATTCTTTATAATTTTATTAATTAAAATTCACAGTGTTAATAAACTGGACACTTTACAGGTATATTGGCGATAGAATTTTGATAAGTGTATCTAGTAATGACGTGACAAACATGTTTTTTAACCCTAAGCAGAGTATTTAAACAATGACTCACCCACTATTCCCCTACAGCGTATAATATTTAATTTAAAACTATGCTAATTTAGAATTTGTGTAGTAGTAAAAAATAAAATTAAAAAAATATATATTATACTATGATGATTAAGATAATTAACTATACGTCCATCCATACAAATTTTAATTTTTAAATTCAAGATAAATTTCTATGGCTAAGAAATTGCTTTTGACAAACATCGTTCACTATGCCACCAATGCATCGAACCAATTATGGGGAGGAAGTCTATAAATGTGATAATTATTATTTATACCATTATATTGTTAAATCTTAATCGTTTTGATACAAATTTTCGTGTAAATTTTCAGTGCACGTCTATTGGTAAAATTTTAAGGTGTACCATCGATGACATACCTATGTTAGTATAATACAAATGTCTTTAGAGTTTAGATATTAAAAGCACTTAAAAAAACTATTTTTTTATCTTCCACAGTTATCAATAATTTAAATAATTAAATCATAATTTAATGAAAGACATGGTTTACAGAGATAATAAATCTTTCATTGGTGGAACTTTAACAAAATTATGATCTTAAATTTGTTAATTTGAGATTAACTATAGACTGTAGTCTATATAATGTAAAGTATAGAATTTACTAGACTATTGTTAACTATATTTGAATACTCAATATATTATTAATATGAAGTACTTAAATACGTTATAGGTGGCTTACTTATTTATAATAATAAATAATTTTGTCATACTTAATAATATTAAGTGGGTACTTACTCTATTTATGGATTTCTTTTTACTTGATGGTGAACGAGATAACTTATTATTATATTTCTGTTGTTTTGATTTTTTTGCTGAAGAACTGATTGTTGAATTACAATAATGTGGTAAAACTCTGTAAATACTTTTAAGTATTAAAATATTGAATAACCCGTGGGTAAGTAAAGAAGCATAAGAACAAAAACTATCGGGAAAGACTATCTGCTGTAGGTATAGCGTAGTGTACCTCGACATTAAGTAGATAATATAATGAATGTGTTAAATTTGAATTGAATGTTTGATCATTGTATAGGTACAAATAATTATTTTGAGTAAAGATTGTGTGTTAGGTTTTGTTTTTAAGAATATATTATAGTATTTATGATTATTATTTTTTTTTATTGTTATAAATACAGTTTTTGGCTGCATTATTGGTTATTGGCCGCGATTGATATAACATATTGGTTATTATAGTGTATTAAAATATTTATTTATACTCGGTAATAAACAAGTAAAATTTATTTTTCATTAGTACTTAACAGTATAATACAATATTTTTAACTAGTTTTTCCCAATAACATCACACGTATTATGTATGATTTATTTTACATAAAATTACAAAAAAACCATATTATACACTAATACATTATTTTTATAATTCAACAAGAAAAGTCTTAAGTCTATGTGAATTATGATTAATATTTTTTAAATTACTAGAATCGTAAAATAAAAAAAAAATACATATTATTTTTAGTTAAAAATAATATTAGATTTCCAATAAAATTAAAACTTTAAATATCTATAAAAAAAATATGCCAATGTTTTTTATTTATATTAAATAGCTATAAGGCATAACTTACAGAAAATCTACTCGTATTAGGTTGTGTAGGTAATATTATAATCGAACATTAACAGTTGTATCATCATTTATTTATGTGAAAATATCTAAATAAAATGGAAATTTGAAATTATACTATTATAACTTAAAATGTACTAGTCTAAATATTTTAAAAATTGCGTTGTTTTATGTTCATAAAAAATAACAATTTTAATTATCATGGAAAATTACCTATGTAAATATTTTAAAAATTGAGCAGTTCTAGGATATGATTTAAGATTAACCCATTTACGTTATGTTTGTTTCTCGTAAGAAGAAAATAGTCAAATAATATTTTTTCGTATAATTGTGTAGTACGTCTACTTTTTAAAATGTCCATATTGAATAAAATAAATGAATAATTAAAATGTGGGATTTCAGTGCATTATTCGCTTTCTGTTTTTAACTCACGTACAACATAGTAAATTTATGTTCAGAAGAACTGCCAAAAACAACTTTGTGTTGTTAACTTTAGTATATAAGATTTAATTGGCATATCATTAAGCCCAAAGTTAAGAATATTATTTCTGTTTTTACGTTATTTTAATTTTAAAGCAAGATATGAACAGGGGTGAACTGGGTCATAATTTCAGGCCGAGAACTTTTTTTTTTGCCAGGCCAAAAATCACAGGGAAAAATAATTTGGTCATAACTCATGAGTATGTGAAAAATATAATATAATAATGAAAAAAAACCTTTATTATTAAAAAAAAAATACATATTATGTTCAACATTTAATACAGATAATATAATGTTCAGATGTACATATTTTAATGAACTACTATTAATTTTATACTAAAATTAGAATATTCTAAAATCTATGGGATACTACTCATACTAAAATTAATTCAGTAAAATTTTTTTTTACATTATTCGTTTTTTTTTTCATAACATCTCTAGTTTCCCCGATTTCTCTTATAATATTTTAGTTTAATATAAGGCAAACAATTTTATTAAAATAAAATACGGAACTACATTACTTTACATCATTGTTTTTGTTGTTTACAATAAGTGCGAGCGAGCATAAACACCTGAGTGCGATGCCGTTATTATTAGTTATTTCGAGTATAAAAAATAATAATTATAGTTTATAAATAAATAATAAACCCCCATATAGTAATATAGTATATAAGCTATTCACCCATATATATATATATAAATATCAGTGTGTATATTTCGTGCATAGTATAAATTGTCTAAACGAAATATAAAATAGTTTATCGACTTGATCACGTCTTCATAATACTATAAAATTATCAATAATTATTATACTTAAAATCACACGAGCAGATAATGTTTATACTTATTTATGCATTATATATGTTATTTCATATAATTTATTTTTATCTTCATTTAAACTGTTATTGTAACGAGTTAGTCCACTCTATAAGTATTAAAAAAAAAAAAAAAAAAAATGATTTAATTTATAATTTTATAGTACATTGTACGTATTCATGGCTAGAGTAAAAATTGAGTTATCGTAAAAAAGACAATACAAGAACACTGATAAACTGATAATATCCTTAACTTTAAGTCTAATCATTGTTAAATTCACATTTCACTTTAATACTAAAGTAAACAACACAAGGCTGGATATACTTGATGAAAATTTTCCATGTCGAGTATGTGTCTAAGAGTCAAGAGAGAAAGCAAAATAAAGTCCATTGATACATTTTTCATGAAATAAATTTTAAATAATTTTTTATATAGTTAAATTTAATTTAAAATTTATGTTAGGGATTTAATCATTGTTTTATAAGTATTTGCATACAAAATATGTAGTTTTAATTTTAATCTTCAAAAAATAGTTAAACGAATGTTGGTATATATTACATTATTAATTATAGAATATCTGAATGTATTATATACGTCGATTGAAAAATGAAAAGTGTGTCATTTCTATAATGTTTTGGATTTGGACAATAACAGTATCAGACAAAATATGAGGAATACTTTTGAACTGATGTCAATTAGTTTTTTTATGTTTTAATAACTGATAGATGATAAAATGTTTTCTAGATGATTTTTATGTGGCATTTTTTGGCTAAGATTAATATTATAATAGTTATCACTTATCTGCAGTTACTATAGGTACTCATTTTAAAACCTTATTATAATTTATAATGATTGGAGAATTGCGATGCCTATAATAATAATTGTACTGAATGTCAAAATCAAAATTCATTTATCAATGCTTGAGTTTTTCTTAAGTGTCTTAACATTAAAAATAACTTACTGAAAATCACGAATATTGATGGTGTTTTTTAATAATTTTTTATTTGGACAAGCTTCTGACCAACAGTTTACCCTAGGTCGTACATCATATATCTTTTTAAAATGACTTCTCATTGTCAGATACGTTGTAATGTTGTCTTCTGAAAATATAAATTTTAATAATTAATATACTAATATTATTAATAGGTAGTTGATAAATAATAAAAAAAAGCTTTATTATGCACAATAAGTACCTAAAAAACATAGTTTTCTTAAATTTATACTGTAGCACCTATAGTATAGCTAAAACAGACCGGATGCTGATAAACATTATTAATAGCATTCGTGATTATTTAAATTTTAATTGGAACGTTAGTCTGAGTAGTGAGTATTTATGTTATGGTTAAGCTTACGTTGAAATCTTTGATGTTTCTCTATAATAGCTATCATATTTTTTTTATGTGATAAATACAATATCTGAAATCGAAATTGGTTACCAATATTTCATGACATAGATAAAACACAGAGAAGCCAAGTATTCCAGTGTAGATTTATCTTATTTATTTTTATTTTATCCTGAATAGTGAATATCATTTATCTTTTATAATAGAAATCGTATTTTACAATAGGTTATTTAAGAGACAATGCATTATCTGTAATAGTCAATAATGAATAAAGCATTTTAATGAAAGCAAATAGATTTTTAATCTTATGAACATTGCTTAATTCGTATCGATGTTAGATAATATTATTGACTATTGTTATCTTTACTTCGTGAAAATTATGAAGGCATTTAGGCATAGCGTTCGTGGTAGGTACAGAGGCATTATTAAATCAATATTAGTCGGAAAACACTGCGTTTTCAATATGATATGTCGATATAGACATCTCTTGAATAATATTTAAAAATTTATTCAACTAGAAAAATATTATTCAATATTATCACACATTTAAATACATAGTACTGAAATAGCGGTAGATAATAATATTACAAAATGTTTTATTTTAATTAATTGCTATTAAAAGTTTAGAAATAATGTCGCCACGTCGGTTATTAATTTAACACGACAATTATTTAGAGACTGTAATACCTACCTATGTCATCGGCCGATTGTTAAAAGTTTAGGAACCACCGTAGTACCATACAGACGCGTACATTAATATTATACCATTTATAGTTCTAGAATTATTATACATTATTATTTACTGACTATATACTGTTGTGAATTTGTGGCGTGTTGTAACCTGACGTAACATGCATATCTTTTGTCATTTATGCGTAATACGTTACAGTAAATAAAATATTTAAGTTCTTTTATCATTTCATTAAACTCTTGAATATGAATATAGAATATAATATGATGAATATTATTGTACTATAATTTATTACTTATTAATAATATGCATCTACGTATCATGTAGGTTTTTGGTATTATATAGATACGTGTCTTTTCACATTAGTTCGGACTCTAAATTACATTATAAACGAAAAGGTTATAATCGCTCATTCTTTCCTAACTTTCTTCTGTTTATACTAGACATATGATTGAGTTACGGAATAAAAATTTTCGACCTTAGGAAATAAATACTAAAAATACAATATTAGTTTAACACTTGCATAGTATTTTTTTTTTAAAAAAATGGTTAGATGAATTATATATTTGAAACGTAGGTATACAGCAAATTTATAAGTAACTATGGTACTTATACTAATTATTATATCATATTTAAATGTATTGTAGAAGTTCAATAATTATTATTAAAAATCACTTGTTAAATAAAAAATTATTTTTAAATTAAAAATTAAGCTACATATATATTTAATGTTTGAAATAAATATTGAATATAATTTAGTTTATTTTTATATTTAGGTATGTTATTACCATTTTAAAACATTAACAATAATGTTTGGTTTTATATTACAATTTACAAGGCTAAAGGTGATAATCCACTAGTATACCTTTTAAACTTTAAGAACTTATGATTTTTTTTTTACATATTTATTGCTATTCTCCAATAGTTTTACGTATTATAAAAATAAACTATTAATATAATATTTATATTCATCATTTAATTTAAATATTATTTATTAAAATATTTTCGTCAATTTTTATTCCGATTTTCATAATATTAGAACTATGTTAGGATACTGGAAAATTAATAATATTTTGAATATAATTATTATATTAATCAATCGCTATTATGATTGTAAACATGTTAAATAATTGAAATTAAGGTTTTTTTGAAATACATATTTTTTATCTACTCGTATTTAATAACTTTTACTTCTTTAAAAATTATAACTTTTAATGAATAACAATATGTCAATATGAACCTAGAAGATTATTTCATACAAATGTTTAATCTAAGATGAATAAACTTATATAGTATATTGATTATAGCTATGATAATAAATTACGGGTGACGAAATATATAGCTAGATATCAAGTACCAATAATACATAAATACATACCTGGAATCTTTATTTTTACGGCTGACATGAAGAAATATATTTTTCACTTTAACAGTATTGTACAGTTTTATAATAAATATGAAAAATTTAAAATTACTTCTCTTGTACCAAAATATTGTAGTAACTACTCAATACTAAATTTTGTTTGTATACATTAACTTCTGATTGTGTTGCCATAGCAACACGTTGTCTACGATGAAATATAATACAACTAATAATCTTTAATAACTTTGGCTTGGAATTATATGCATTAAAATGCACTCATTAATTAGGTATAACTTATAAGTTATAACCACTGAAATATTCACGGAAAACATGCAAACAAAAACATTAATTTGTATGTAAAAAAATAAATATTTATTTTAATAATTATTTTTTGAAACAAGTTTAGTTTAAAATTTTACAATTTATTAAATAATTAACAGTAAATAACTAAAAAATCATCAAAAATAATTGAATGATTGAATGAACTGCATAAGTATTGTGGCACATTTTGTCATCGACGAGTTTATTCGCCTAAAAAAATTTATAAAAAAAAAAAATCAATTAATTAATTAGCGAATAGTAGATTTTTATGAGTATCTTTGGTTAGGCAATAATATTAACAATAAATGCGTTATATTTTTGAAAAACACCAAAATATGCACAATAATTTAAAATGTACCTACCAAACATGAGAAAATATATAAAATCACCTAGTAATAACTAATGAATTATTAATTGTTGTAACTTATAATACAAATATCACAACAAAATTCAAAACAATTGAATATTCTGATTTCTTAATATAATATTAAATAGTAGTATAGTACTAATTTGAGTAAATTATTGTGTTGGTACATATTATACATTTATAACTATATTATTATATTGTATCTATTTAGTATTTAAGTGCTTTTTGTTATTGAAAATCTATTAGCCACTTATTTTAATTGTAACAAAATATTGTATAGTTATTTACTCATTTATAATTTGAATTCGCAAATACGTCATTAATTTGTAATTTAAGTTTGTTAAACATAAAACTTCGTGAAGTTTTTGATATTTTTGATTTCGTTTGGTTGGTATATAGTTTACGGGTTGTTAGACATTTTATTTGAGTTACCTATTATGAAATACACCCGATACAAAATCCATGATACAGTTAAACAGTCCTACGTGCACTAAACAATAGATACCATCCCAAGGTTTTCTTTTATTCGCCACTACATATATTACGAAAAGTGCGTAGGTTGTTAACAACAAGTAGGTAACAACAAAAATCCATTTAGCGAGGGTAAGAATTACCCTATAGTTACTGTCATTTTAGTTATAATTTCTGTTAAAGAAACCAAAGGTTGACAGTTTTATTAAAGAAACACATTTTATACGCTAGTAAGAATTATACTTATTCTTCAACACATTTTAATACGTATAATATGATATTAAATTGTTTAATTATTATTAATCTGCGTTATTAAAAAATATATGACTGTATATTAATCATCAAGTATATTAATATATTATACATACCTATACCGTACTATGGAAATAATTTTACATATATTTGGTTTGATTTTTAGCTTTAAATTATTTTTATTACTCAAAATAATTCAATATATTGTATTAATTTAAAAAAATATTCCGTTTGTGACTGAATTTTAAAGATTGAAATCCAAAATCATGTTATTTATGTAGAATATAGATTATTGTAATTCTTCCATTGTATGATATTCAGGCATTCCTCTATCAATCTCATTTATACGAAAAAATTGTAGATAATTAAAATTTAAATTATAAACATAGAAAATTTATATTTAATTATAGTATGTAATATGTTGCACATAAAAAGTAATGGCATAAGGTCATTTATTTTCTATTTATTATGCTATATATTATATTATATACTAATTTAATATTATTTTGGGAATTTCAATTGGGAGATAGGTATTTCATCGATTCTTATAGGTACATAAAATCACTAATTTAAAACTGATTGATAGAGTTATAATAAATATTAACAGTAATAAATGAAAAATAAATCGATATTTTAAGCGCAAAATGACTAATACTTTATAAATGAATAAAATTATTGTGATAAATAATAATTTATTAGTTCTAATGGTATGCACGTATAACCATACAGTGTGATACATACCTATTTATGTGAGATATAATTACGTAAGTTTTAAGTACGTAACAAAAAATTATTAATAATTGGGTATCCACAACCTATTAATATTGGATAAGTAACGTCTTATTGTAAGTTATTACATACCGCTAACTACAAAGTACCTCGATGAAATGTGTAGGTTACCTACAAACCATAGCCACTGTATTATTAATTCATAATATCTGACATTATTACGACATTACTCATACAAAATAATAATATATTTTATTTTAGTGAGATTATAGCAGACATAAGTACCATCAGGCATCAGTAATTAAACAGTAAAGTTATAAAATAGTTTTATGCAAATTGAATCAAGTACAAACTAGAAATGTATTTAAGTGTAAAATGTTAATAATTTTATAGTGTAATATAATGCGCCTTATAACTTTTAGATTTAAGAGTATATTAAAATTATGTAACATTATAATCTTTATCATTCATAAAACAATATGCTTAACAAAAAAAACATAATTTAAACTAAAGTAAATATAAAAACCATGATGATAAGTGACTCTGTAGTTTGCTGTATAGTGAAGATTTCAAATATGTTTTATCATAGAGTAGATCACTCTGTAATAGTTAATATGATTTGAATTTAATGACAAATTATCGCTTACGAAAAATTATTCTCAGCAGAGACAGATTTATCAGCCTATATTTGTAAAGATATTCGATAATTTATATAATAATTTAAATTTCTTTATTAGTGATTTATTTTCTATAAATAATTTACCTAGTAGATTAAATTATTTTTTCCGCAAAAAAAAAAATCGCTTATCTATAATATATTATTAGAATATTACTAGCTTTTAGCCGTTATTTACGATTATAAATCAATATACTTACTCATGTATCATAGAACGATGTGAATAGGACCGGGGTATAAATGTATAATATAATAGTATAAATGGCTAAGAGATTAATAAAACATTTTTTAAATTGTATTGTATAAAGCAAATATACACATACCTACCATGTATGAGTAATAATCATAGACTTTATACTCATTAGTATAAGGTCTATGGTAATAATATATGAATAGTGAAAAAATATTTCAAATCTCAACGAATATTTTTTTTTAATTATAGCAAATTTACTTAAATTGTTATTGTTTAGTTAAGTATTTAATTTTAACTTGAAATATCTATAACAAAAAAAAAATTGTGCATGTATATTTTTATTATTTTTAGGTTGCTGTAGTAAAAGTTTACGACGATTCTTTTATTAAATTTACAAGATTTTTTACCCATAAACAAAAAATGTATTATACCCAGATAGAAACAGCTAAAAAGTTGAAAATTTTAAATGTCTATAAATAGCAAAAAACATTTAAAATATTTTGAAAATTATATCTTGTCTATAACATAAATAGGTACTTCGTGATCATTTCAAATCTTTAAAGTCATTTGTTTTTGAATAACAACAAGAAAATAAAACCAATTTAGTTAAATATTATTTTTTCTTAATATGTTATTTATTTTTTGATTGTTTTAATAGAACTGGAAAACTTCCAAGCACAACTCAAATTAGATACCAGAAATTATCTTGAAAGTTGAAAATTGAAGTTTTTTCACGGTTTCAAACTTTGATGGTTGACAAACAAAAATTAAAATATATTATATAACTGTGAGACCAATTCATTCATTGATCTGCTTAAAATCTACGTAGGTATATATCTAAGTTATAAATAAATAATAATTAAATCTTAATAAATAAAAAAAATAATTTTTTTCCAATTATTATTATTGGACTCAAAAAAATCAGAAGTGCTTATTCGAGATTTAAGGGTGCTAAAAACCTCCAAGTTTCAAGTACTAACAGTCCATTATGCATACATTTACATTGTACATTCTATAGTATACTTATATATAGTATGTAGTATATAGTTGTCCCGTGTCCGGAATACAATTAATATACTTTATACACGCAAATAATAATAAAGACCTTCGTTCGATCGATTGCCCTATTTATATTTTACACCGATGTGGCGGTATATGCGGGTTTATATTATATTAGGTAATATAATATTCTACCACGTTTTATGGTGTTTGCAATTTATATTTTATTTGAACTACATAATACATTACATAATAGTTAAAGATACCTGAAAGGCTAAAAAGTCTCAATAAATACATATTAGTTCTAATTTGTTATCTGAGACGGATTAAGAGATTAAGTGCATTACCATAACTAAGTTTTTTGTGGCTCCTAAAGCCTTTTTATCATGAAATATTAGAATATTTATTAGCATAATAATGTTAATAATTTTTATGATGTTTGTTTCTGTGTACAAATAGAAATTGTAAATTATAAATATATACTTGCTTTTTACATGTACCTTTTTAATAATATACCTAAGCTCATTGCCCATTACCACATTATCATAATACTGTACACTTTTTTTAAAAATTACTATTACATTACAGAAAACTAGAAACATATTATTTGCTTAAATATTTTATTACTTTTTTTTTTTTTTTATAAAAATATTATGCTATAAAATTATTTTATTAAAATATACTAGTAATAATTATAAAAAAATATATATTAATATAACATTAAATAAAACGTGGGTACATATCGAGTACGAATACAATAAGAAACTTTTAGTACTTAAATCATGACATATTTTTATTAGGTAACTAGGTCAGAAGATAGGTGTAAAACTTATTTGATACATATCAATGGCGCACCCGTAGAGTGAACTTGGGTCTGAAATCTCCTTTAAAAAAAATAAATAAATAAAAACTAGGTATATGAATATTTATTTCCCAGGCAACACCGTTTTAAAATCAGCTTGTAATGATATATTTTCGGATTTAGAAAATTGGTATAAATAAGTTGTGGTTATTGAAATTTTATAAGTTATGTGTTTTTAA